CCTAGTAATATAACTAATCCTATGTGATTGTGTTCCTCTTTGGATCATTGCATCAAAACCAGTTAAATTGAATGGGTCAAAATCCAGAACTCTCTCCCTAACCGCAATGTGAGTTTATCTACACCCCAAATGCAGTGGTTCAAGACGTAGCTCACCACCATCTTCACAAAGACAACTAGGGATAGACAGGAAATGCTGGTTTAGTAAGCGACACCACATGCTGTGAATGAATAAAAAGAAATGAGATATACTGGTCTGACTCTCTTGTACGTCAAAAATGAAGGACCAGTATGACCGGTATGTTCATTTTCAAGTCCAACTGTTTTTTTTTGAACTGGTTTTTCCCTTTAGGTAGTTGCTTGGTAATCTCCAAATGGTCCATCAAGAAAACCATTCCTGCCTGCTCAGAAACAGAAATCCTAAGTGCTACAGATAACAAGGTGTAGAGCTGGATGAACACAGCAGGCCAAGCAGCATCAGAGGAGCAGGAAAGCTGACGTTTCGGGTCGAGACCCTTCTTCAGAAATGGGGGAGGGGAAGGGGATTCTGAAATAAATAAATTTGGCCTGCTGTGTTCATCCAGCTCTACACCTTGTTATCGTAGATTCTCCAGCATCGGCAGTTCCTACTATCTCTCCCAAGTGCTACACACTGTTTGTCTACTTTCCCACCCACTGCACCTGCATGCGATTATCTCTGCCAATATGCTTCCCATTCCACGTACCTGTTGCAGCTGAGCGTTTCCTGGCAGGTTGACCTTATTTTTAGTCAAAAATCCCACTATTGTAGACATAGCTCTTGTAAAAATCCACACTTCTCTGATATGGAGATCACTAGATTTATTTATACCTTACCACCCCAATCAGTTTTCACCCTTCCCCCGGAAGGATTAATTTGAACTGAGATCTAGTTTGTCTAATTCTAATGTGTATTATTCACTCAGTCTGACAACCCTCATGTCACCATTCTTAATGCATTAGCAAAGACTAGGAATGTTGAAAAGAACCAAAACATCTTTCTGGTTTTATCAAGCACCCATGCAAGTATACTTTCCACAGGAAAGCGAAGCAGTCAGGAGTGAGAATGCTGCCCGATTTTCTAGTACAGGCATGATGGGCTTAATGGCCTCCTACTTGCCACTATTTGATGATTCTATTCTTTGATTTCTCCCCTCTCAAGTCCAGCAATGATAGAAGAACCTACTACCACTTCAACAAAAATAAGTTATCTCAATATTTCTGATTATCATATGGTGACTGCTGTTGGAACATGCAAGATCAGGCTTGTCTGTGATGTTTTCCAATGATCAGTTAACCTGTTCAAATTCATTGGGGTCACACATGATGAATAGGCACTGGGACAAGATATCGCTGTCTTAGTGATTTCAGTAAAGAAAATTGCAGAAGGGAACCTACAGAGTTCAAAATGATAGTGGTTAACAGTGATTCAGGATGGAAGTGTCTCTGCTAATGGAAAGGATGCATTGTAACTGAAAAACAACAAAATCACTGATTGCTAAATTAGAAGGGAAAATTTTCTCCCCGCAGCTGGTTCAATGCATTGTACCACTGAAAAATTTGCTGTGACACTATCACTGTGACATTGCCTAACTGAACTGTGTCTTAGCCCTTGAAGCCTCAGCTTTAGCATGTTTTCAATCCTTGATTTTGATTCATTTGAATGAATAAGTCTCAGAGTTTGGACTGCCAATGATCTGTGCTCCCAGTATGGGAGTGTTTGCTCAAAAATAAACCCTTCATCTATCATGCATTGAAAGTTGCTTCACAGTTTCCACTGCTTCAGCCATATGGCTGACACCCATTAACTACCCTGTCTCAGCACCAATGGAGCATCAAGCTGCTTATCCCATATCATTGAAACAACACCATCTGGGGGAGGTGATGGTTTAGTGGTATTATTGCTGGACGGTTAATCCAGAGACCTTGATAATGCTCTGGGCACCCAGGATCAAATCCTGCCACGGCAGATGGTGAACTTTGAATGCAATAAAATATCTGGAATTAAGAATCTAATGATAACCATGAATCCATTGTCAATTGTCAGAAAAACCCATCTGATTCACTAATGTCCTTTAGGGAAGGAAACTGCCATCCTTACCTGGTCTGGCCTACATGTGACTCTAGACCCACAGCAATGTGGTTGACTCTGAACTGCCCTCTGGGCAATTAGGGATAAGCAATAAATGCTGCCTAGCCAGCGATGCTCTCATCCCATTAATGAATTTTTTTAAAAAAATGAATAAAGAGCTAGGGACACATTCCAGGACAGCAGCTTCTGTGCTCTAACATTTGTCTCCTCCAGGAATAAATCTAATCTAGCATATTAACTTTTCATGTAGCAACCTATCAAATGTCTTTTGGAAATCCAAGTATACTACATCTATTGATTCCTCTTTTTTTTTAAGGCTATACAGGAATAGGGTCTCAAAATTAACAACATCTTTAAGGCTTTAAGCCTTATTAGAATTCAAATAATATGGGTCAGGTGGTTCAAGCCAAACTTGGTCAGGTGGGGTTAAGGGTCACTCTGAGGGTGGAAATAGATGGGTGTGCAATCAGTGAAATGGTAACTTCTTTGGTGCTTTGCTGTGCCAACGCAGCATCTAAAATGTTTGGATAGGTTTTTTTTCAAGTTATTTTACTCAATTAAAATAGATACAAAAAACATTATAAAAATGATCAGTTTTCAAACGACTTCAATTTTTGGGTCACTGTACCTATAGATACATCCTCAAAATACTGTAATAAATATTTTACAGTAAGTGAAAGAGAGCATTATTTCTTCAGCTGCGGAAAAAAAACTTACGAGCCTATGCAAGGTTACCAAGGAGCATGTTATAAAATGTGACTTATCATCAGTCTTCCTTTACAATGCATGTTAACTACACCAACTATCCATCCATTTAAATGATTACTAAGTTCGTGTTGTTGCAGGACATTGATACCGTAATGTCACACAGTGTTCATCTTATGTTTACCAGGCCTGATTAATGTTCTCCTGGCAGATATCCTATCCTTTCCTGTAAATTCCAACTCATCAAAAATTCTTCTGCCCCTCCTCGTCTGCAACCAAGTCCTGTTCATCTATCAACACATTTGCACACTTTGGCTTCCAGCTCCCCAACACTGACCTGCAATTTTAAATTGTGTCTGTCAATCTGTGGCTATTTTACAACCAATTACACCTGGTGATTTTAAGGACATATTATGGTACAACAGTTAAAATGGATTGGAGAAGAAAAAGATCAAAATTGCTTATTACATCTATATCCTAGGGCTATATGTGTGCGATTTAATTTTTCCAACTGCACACTTCTATTCTTCCATGATCTCTTTAACCTGGAATTTTTCAATTTCTTGTTTCAATAATCTTTCCTGCTTTCAATTTCCCTTCTTTCTGTTGAAAATACTCCCTGGTGCTGGAGGACTGACTTGTGAGTCTCAACCATTGATAGGGAGTGAGACTAAAGTGTTGCATCAAACCAGGTATGAACCTATACCACAGACACTGCCAGAACAGCTGAGTTTCTCCAGCACTTTTTTTTTATATTTCTGATCTCCAGCATCTGCAGTACTTTGCATTGATTTTATGTGAACCTTTATCTCGCCAGACATCCACATCTCAGCTGTTGCCATTGTTTGAAAATCAGGAGCAGAACCTTTGGCTGATTTTGCCTGTCAATTCCCCCTTCAAGAGCATTGAAGCTATCTGTAACACCTCTACCCCAGTTGAGTCTTAAGATTGGGAGAAAATTTAATGTAACCTATCAGGAAACTTACAGGAATAGATGTCATGTTGTTTGATAACCCACCCATCAGCATTTCATCCAATCTTCTGGGTTCCCAGCCTGTGGATTAGGTTAAAATGATCACCATTAATAGATGAATAGTATCAACACAACTGTGCAATCAACTTCACACTCAAGCACTTGAAAGTATTTCAAATCCTTCCTAAAAAACAAATTCATGGATTCTGAAACAGCATTTTCTGGTAGAATTAAATTCCTCATGTATACAAATCCATATAAAAATGTGAGCTTTCAATCATGGTCAGTTTTCTCAAGCTTATAATTATGGTCTCTAGTTCTTTACTCCAGTTCCACACAAACAATAACTTAGCTTTCACTACAACAAACCTTTTCATATCTTAAAAACATTGCATTCAGTATGGTATGATATTTCAATGGGTTTTTTTTTGTAAACTGTTTACTTAGTCAGTTAATTTAGTCTCCCTTGGCAAACACATTTGGAGAGCTTGTTGTATAGATATTTTATTGCAGGTTACTTTTTTAAATCAAGATATGTACTAGGCAGAGTTAACTACTTGTCGCTCTTAAAGGAAGCAAGTTGCACAACTGCAAATATTAGTTAGGAATGATGCACACCAATAGATTCAAATGCATACTTCACAGATTGTAGAAGGTTTTTCCTGGTATTGGTTGTGTGGTTGCCTCTTAACACAAACACCTGACAGACTCCAGGCAACAGTAGCTAAGCTGCAGATTTCGACGTCTCATGATAGACAGCTTAGATCAGATTACTGAATGACAAACACAAGGTTTGGCTTTCTGCAGAGAAAAATGACTTTTTTGATAGCTTTATGCTTGAGATTTGATTGAATCTCTCAACATTTATTGTTCTGGCCAAATGTAACATGTTTGCCAAAGTTTTTGATATCATCATTGTGTTGGCATAATGCGACCAGCCTTGTTGCTATGCTGTGGTGGGACAGCAAAAGATTCATTCGGGGATTAGGATTCATTTTATTCAAGGTGCAATCTTGCTAGCCTCTGAAGACTCCACTAACGCTAAGTTATGTCAATTTAATGATGATTGACTTTCAGCTATGGAAAGAACTTTGCATATTTAACAAAATGCAGATACTTTAATTGCTTCAAGATTTGAATATTTATAAGAAGATAAAGTTTTCTGCTGCCAATCAACCTACATCTTAATCAGTACGTGTTTTGATTTGCTGTAATGCTCATAAACAGTACAGGTATGTATACAAATCCATATGCAATTGAGGTTTTACAGAGCAAGAAAAAAGAACTGATAGCAGGAATTATCAATACAGATAATCTTCTGGACTGGTTGGTTGAGAATCGTATCATTTCACCAGATAAGAGAATTGCTGTGTTGAATTACAAGACACGGGAGGAAAAGAATTCCAGAGTTCTGGATATGTTGGTTTGTTGTGGTGAGAGAGCCTGCAGAATGTTCTTCTATCCTTGTCTCAAGTATTTGGAACCAGCTCTGTATAATTACATCAGAAGCTATGTCAGTAATGTGTCCAGCAGCTTTGGAAATGCCAAGAGGCAGTTAGTGGGATACCTTTTGGAAAGGGATAAG